TCTCTCTCTCTCTCTCTCTCTCTCTCTCTCTCTCTCTCTCTCTCTCTGTGTGTGTGTGTGTGTGTGTGTGTGTGTGTGTGTGTGTGTGTGTTGTCCATGACACAGCCAGCTCATGAAGCACAAAAGCCGACACTATGGATCAGCAGCCAGTTGGCAAGGATTGAGGCAGGCACGCATGATCACGGTTGAGTGGCAGCGAGAAATACGCTCCTCAGTGGCAAAGGCAAGGTGATTCCAGGCACACTAAGAACCGCAGGAAGAGTAGGAAAGGGCAGGATCATGTCAGCAGGAGGAGGAGGAAATGGAGTAGAAGGATGAGATTTACAGTAAGAAGAAGAGTAGGTAGTGGAAACTGAACAATAGGAAATCAGGAAGAGGAGGAGACGGAACAAAGGAAGAATAAACATTAAGAAGAAAAAGGGAAAGGAGATTGCATCAGCAAGGGGAGGAAGAGGCGGCAACAATGTACCTTCACATCAGCAGCAGGCTAGCAGCAGCACCACCAGGAGGACGAAGAGGACGAAGACGAGGAAGACGAGGAAGAGGAGGAAGACGAGGAAGAGGAGGAAGAGGAAGAGGAGGAGGAGGAAGAGGGAGAGGGAGAGGAAGAGGAGGGAGAGGAGGGAGAGGAGGGAGAGGAGGGAGAGGAGAAAGGGGGAGAGGAAAAGGGAGAGGAAAAGGACGAAGAGGCGGAAGAGGAGGAAGAGGAAAAGGAGGAAGAGGAGAGAAAGAGGGGAAGGAAGAGGAGGAAGAGGAGGAAGGGGAGGAAGAGGAGGAGGAGGAGGAAGAGGAGGAAGAGGAGCAAGAGGAGGAGGAAGATGAAGAGGAGGAAGAGGAGGAAGAGGAAGGACAGGAAGAGGAGGAAGAGGAGGAAGAGGAGGAAGAGGAGAATGTACCTTTACAGCATGAGGAGGACAAGGAGCAGGAAGACGAGGAGGCGGAGAAGGAAGAGACAATGTACCTTCAGTGCTATGGGTGAAGATCCTCCCGTGACAATCCTGTATGGCGTTTGAAGGGCACGCGCAGTGACAGGGAAGAAGACGCTACTGCGTGTAGCCCCCCCGCCGACGAATGCCGACAAAGACTCCGCTGCTGCTACCTCCCATTGGCCACTATTCCGGCCACAAATGGCCCCAGGCAAGGCATTGACAAGTAGCCAATGCCCATGATCGGAAGGCATTTCATAAAAGCCGGTCCATAGAAACAGGGAGGCATTTGGTAAAGGCTCTGTCAACTACCACAACCACAGACATTTCCAAGAGGGATAGGGAAAGTGGGGGAGAGCAGGGAGGGGGGCGGTGAGGAGGGGGAGGAGGAGGAGGAGGAGGAGGAAGACAAAAAATCATGAAATAATGTCTAGGACATTTGAAAACATGGCAAAAGTAAAGAGTTACAAATTATAATGATAAATAATTCATTTTGCCATTCTGCCCTTTTCTGTGTTGTAAGAACCCAAAAAAAAAGAAAAAAAAGAAGAAGAAGAAGAAGAATATATATTGTCGAACGGAGCTGCCCGGTAAACCGTCTGCAGAGAGGAGAAGAGGACAAGAAACGAGGGGGGGCTGTGACAAACTGTTTCGTCGGAGTTTCACCCACTGACTCATCAGGAGGCTGAATATATATCCTGATGAGTCGGTGAAACTCCGACGAAACAGTTTATCACAGCCCCTCGTTTGTTGTCCTCTTCTCCCTCGCTGCCTACGGTTTACCGCGCAGTTCTGTTTGACGATATATTCGTATTTGTATAGAGAGAGAGAGGGTTCAGCCTCCTGATGAGTCGGTGAAACTCCGGCGAAACAGTTTGTAACAGCCCCAACAGTTTATCACAGCCCCTCGTTTGTTGTCCTCTTCTCCCTCCCTCTCTGCTCCTACGGTTTACCGCGCAGTTCTGTTTCACGATATATATATATATATATATATGAGTCGGTGAAACTCCGACGAAACAGTTTGTCACAGCCCCTCGTTTGTTGTCCTCTTCTCCCTCTCTGCCTACGGTTTACCGGGCAGTTCTATTTGACGATATATATATATCGTCACAAACAG